AAAACAGAACAAAAATGTCCTCGTCCTACTCTTGCATTGACTGTGGGTTCACATGTGCATGGATCGATTGAATAAAAAACAGATTAGTAAGTAAACAACAAAAAATAAAACAAAAGAAGTAATATCAGTCCTGCGACAGAAACGTAGTAGAGAAAAAATGCTTTCTGAATGCCGGGATGGACAGTGATCTCGTCCAAGGCGGAATGCGGTTATAGACTTTCGATATATTGTAACTATATGACCGTTCAAAAAGCGCAGTCCGATGCTGCGGCATGGTAAGCAAACCCCGATTGCGGATATTAATATTATGAACATCCGTTCGAAAAGTTAATTTTTCGTAAAGATAGGGTGGCGTCTTATTCAGAACCACTTTGTGGAACAAGGAGGCTGCATGATACTGGCGTCTATTGGCCATATTAAGCCATCCGAGGTCAGCAAGTTTGTGAGAAATATGTTGGTGTCTACGAATCCCAAATATCAAGCGCATACAATTATTCTGGGCCATTTGAATTCGCTTGGCATCCCGCCCATCAACACACGGACCGTAGACTACATCGGCATAATCGAAATGAGACAACACTAGAGTATTTAATAACAGCTTTTTAGTGTTGGTAGGCAACATTTTCCTGCTTGCATATATATTTTTTAAGTTCATATAAGCTTTTTTCATACAATTACTAATGTGTTGTCTAAATCTTAGGTCCGTATCGATTTGTAATCCTAGATTTCTGGCTGACTCAACACGATTTAAGGTGACACCACTAACCTCAACTCTAAAATCATTTAAAGTTTCCTTACCCCTAATTCCACCGAATATCATATAAGTCGACTTTGCGGAATTGAGTTTTAAGCCATGGCCCCCACTCTCCCTCACCAAATTCTCCAGATCCCCTATCAATACATCATTAGCCGCTGCAGCCTCCGATACAGGAAAATCAACGTAGATCTGTGTATCATCAGCGAAACAATAGTGGCCCCAATATGGATCCCTGAGGAGCTCCAGAAGGAACCGGAAGGGGATCCGAGTATTCGTTGCCCAACCGACCAACTGACGGCGACCAAACAGGTAACTCCTCAAAAGATTCACAGAACAATTTTCGAAACCAATATGACCCAAAATGGACAGCAGTAACTCGTGATTAATAGTGTCAAAAGCTTTACTGTAGTCAAGCAAAACCAATGCACACATCCTACCCCTATCAATTGCCGAGATTATATCATCCAACACATTCAACAGTAACGTAGTACAACTATACCCCTCTCTAAACCCTGATTGCTGTTTTGGTAGAATAGAATTTTGAGTCAAATACTCTTTAATTTGCCTGGCCAGTATCTTTTCAAAAATCTTGGATAAAGTAGGAAGGATGCTGATCGGCCGCAGGTGAGAAAACTCAGCTGGATTGCCATTTTTTGGGATTGGAGTCACGAGAGAGTAATCATATTGGAATTAGTAGATTCCAAAAATCGTTCTATCTAATACATACTCAGAAATAGCTACTAATTAGCTTTCTCTCTTTGTTACTTCAGTTTCCAAATATTGTTCCTAACAATATTATAGATAGAGCTGTAAAGATTTCATCTTTCTATTCTACTCTTCTGATGTGCATGGCCAAATTTCTTCTTGTAAATATTCTTGAAGATGTTCTGGTAAAATTGAACTATCTATATTCACAAATTCTCTCGAGTGTGGTTAAATAACTGTAGAAACACCAAAGTTGAATCTGCTTCTGCTCCAACCGTACTATCTTCCTGACTTATGTAACTCTAATTTCTCGACGATTTAACACGGTGCCTTATTTGCTAGCTACATTGAATGTTCATATTAAAAAATAATAACGTACACTTCGTTTATTTCTTATTTCCGTATGCTAATCAAAACCATATGCATTTTAGATTAGTTATTTTTAATTTGTAGCTCACATATAGAATTATTATGATTATTATTGTATAAAATTAAAATATAAAACATATGATTTTAATAGATTTTTAGTATGCAGTCGCATCCTATTTGATAACTCAACGTTTTTAGAAGATAATAATAAAGTTATATGTCCTGTAATATCGGGCATGTTAAAAAAATATCATGCATAATGGAAATAAATCAAGACTGCATTCAAATAAACAATGTGTTAGTATCTAAATGTTGTAGCTTTTTGAAACGACGTTTTTATAAAACGAAAATTATAGTAAATGAATTATTATTTACAAAGCAAGAACCCGAATCCTGGTTAAGCAATTTTACATCACCCTACGCAAATTATAAACGTTATTTTGTTTAATCTTTTTATTATTTTATAATAAGTTTGATTTTTTACAATTTAAGATGATTCATAGGGTAGATTAGTACCTTTTATATTCTCCAAGATCCATTTATCTAATTTATCAACCATATCTTGGTTTAATTCGTTTTTATTAGTATGCGGTGTTTGGCCAATACCTTCCTTTTTAACAGCTTTATTGAGTTTCCTCTCATAAAAACCAAGATATTCGAGAAGTTCTTTAGTTTCCGATTCGTTGTAACTTTTTCCAAGAAATTTTGATACTTTATTAACAACTCCTTTTGTATCTAATTTGATTTCTTCGCACGTCAAAAACAGTATGTTTGGTAAGTTTCGTTGATTCCAGTAGCTTAAAACAACGTTAAAGTAATCGCCACCCAATACTAAAAGTAATTTTAAAAAAATGAATTTTAAACTTAATTAAAAATTGGTTTGAAAAATATGTTGTTAAAATACCTTTTCCATTAATATACAAATCCACAAAAGTGTTCAACTCGCCTTTATATATTGGGAAAGATTTAGTACAATGAAGATAATAAGATCTTACCACTTTTTTTGGGTCCCTCATTACGTGGATAATCTGCGTAAAATTAATTATAAATTTTATAAGTTTACTAAAAAGATTCCACAAACCTTCGGCGTTTTAAAACCTTCTGTAATTTGCCTCGGCAATAAATACCAAGGAAGATTGGTTTTAATACATCTTTGCCCACTGGTTTGATTTAATCTTTTTATTTCGTCAGATACATTAAACGATTTTAACTGTTCATCATTAAATATCTTATTCTTTTGGCAAAATTCTATTAAATGTTTAGANATGAGTTTTATTTAAGATATTTAAATCTCTCAGATGTTTCCAAACGTTGCCCGGATCAGCACCGCTACGATACCGCAGATATGCCTTCTTTTCATGACGAACACTAGAGTTAACCAAATTGCGGAGCTGCCTAAAATACATAAAATCATTATGATTCCTAGAATGCTTAAACTTTCGGTAAGCTTTATCTCTTAGGTTCATCATAAATTTCAAATTCTCGGTTATCCACGGTGCGGAAGGCCTCGTGATACGTAGAGTTTTTACAGGAGCATGAAAATCGATCAAACTTAACAAACCCGCATTTAAGAATGAAATTTTGTCGTCAATGTCATGCAACTCATAAATTAAATCCCAACCATAATTGCTAACATCAGCCTCAAATAAATCCAAGTTTATATTTTTAAGATTTCTAAATTGTTTGTACTGATGGGAATTAGAATTTATCTTTCTCAGTCCGATGCTGCAGAAGACCAGAGCATGGTCCGATACAGCTAGAGTTTCATCAACAAGGGCATCCCGCACCGTTAATTCATTAGAAACAATAATAAAATCTATAAGCGTTGAGGTAGTGTGCGTCACCCTTGTAGGCTCCTGAACTACTTGAGTCATATCCAAGGAGTCCAACAAGAGGTTGAACGACAGAACAGGACGCGAGTCACGGTCCAACAAATTGATATTAAAATCACCCAAACATACCACATGTGAACAGAGTTGTTGTGCCAGCATCAATGTCTCCTCCAGGTTCTCAAAAAATAAATCACCGACATAATTCGGGGGTCTGTACACCACACCCACAGCCAAGACAGCGCCTCTCGAACGTAACTTAACCCAAACATGCTCGTAAGTACCATTGTCTACTAAATTTAAATGTAAGACATCATATTTGAATTTTTTTCTAATATACAATCCCACTCCCCCCCCTGGCGCCGCGGTCCCTCCTCACGAAATTGTATCCCGTAATATCTACAACGTCATCGGTAATAGTCTCTGATAACCACGTTTCAGTAATAGCACAAACATCATAATTTCGCAAATATAATAAATCCTTAACCGATCCAAAATCAGACATAAGTGAACCCACATTCAAATGCGCAAAAGTCACTGTATCATTCGCTAACATATTAAAAAACTTTTCTAATAACAAACCTCAACGCTCACGCTCGCGGGTAGCTTTAAAAAACCTAGATACATACATATATAACAAAAAAAAATACATATGTATATATACATATACAAAACATTAAACAAAAAAAAATTATTCAAAAGAAAAAATACTATATAATGATAAAAAAAAATGAGAAGATAATCATGAAATAACCAAAACAAGAGTACTACTAGTAAAATATAAAAATAAAGAACAAAAATAAAAATAAAAAATAAAGACATATCTGTTTTGGCGAATTATCCGAATCTATCTATGGTGCCCTTGTCGTTTTTCGCGTAAATAATACCATCCATCGTCCACACACGACCTTTACCATAGTCATCCACCAGTTCCTTTACCATATCCGCTCTGGCGCGCGTAAGATCTTCCTTAATCACAACCCTTGTTCCCTTCAGTTGGCTCTTTAGCGAATAAATTTTTGAACGTACACGATAAGAAGAAAACTTGATAATAATAGCCCGATTGTATTTTTCCTTAATTTTACCAATTCGGTGAGATCGTTGAATAGCTGATATATCCAATTCTTCTCCAAGATAACTTTTAAAAATATTTAAAACGACCAGATCGGTATTTTCTTCCGGGGTCTCCTTTACACCAAATAAACGTAAATTATTTCGTCTCCCATATTGTTCGAGACGATCAATTTTATCAGAACCAGATTTATCGATCTCGTCACAGCGCCGCTTAAGAACTTGTATTTCACCAGATATCTGTTTAGAGATTTGTTTCTCAATATTATCGCATTTTTCGTGAATATTGCTCAAATCACGCCGAAAATCACTAATTTTACCATCAAATTCTCTCTTCAACGTATCCAATTGGTCCGCTACCACCTTAGCTATGAGGCCACTCAGTCCTTTAATAAAATCCTCCTTCTCAAGGGCAGCCATGATCAAACACTCCAGTTCTGACGAGTCAGACGATTTTTCACCCTTTCGACGAACCATTCTTGATTATTTCACTTTACCAAATGATGCAAACACTTATTAGTTATTGGTGTACACCAAATTTAGTAAATTTTTGGCCCAAAAAACCAATAAAAATCCCAAAACTTTACACCGCGAGCGCTAGTGCGACTTTACTATCCGCGCATGCTCTTTCATAATAAGGGAGGAGGCCAATGCGTTTTCAAATGTTTATATTTTAATATCTCCTGTACTGTTCAGAACGCGCCCACACTCACGAATAATTCAAATTTATGAGCAACGCGATCACACGCGCGAAGGGAGAGTAAATAAAACTCCTATTCTTAATTACATTTATTAATTTGGTCACACTCCGCTATTTTTTTCTTTTATTGTATATATTATAAATAATTATTGTTAACATGTATGTATCGTGTCTTTAATTCCTTGTATATATTTCTGTAAGCCTGTTTTGTCCAAAATCTATATAAAACTATGCCCGTCCGAAAATAAACTCTCTTTGTTGTCCAGTCTTCATACAGTGTTTTATTCTTCCGCCAAAATCGAGAGACTAGGAGAAAGTGGTACTCGAGATGGCACTCGAGTTTTTAACATTTTCTTCTATAATTCGAGAACGGGTGGCGATATCAAGATGCGGTTTTTACTAAACTTTAGCAAATTTTAAGGTGACTAAGGGTCTGTGAAGTAAATAGTATCGTTCCGTTTAACTTTTTTCTTCAAAAATCACAAAAATATGTAACTGCTACAGATAACGCCCTCTAGCTTATTTGTTTTAAAGCAAACGGCCTTACTGAAAATATCTTTAAAAAGAGCATAAAATGCTCTTTCAAACAACACCGAAAATATTCAAATCGGTTGAATGGTCCAGGAGATATTAAAATGTAAACATATGAAAACGCATTGGCCTCCCCTTCCCTTATTATTACAGATATGAGAAATATCGCAAAACAAAAGCGTTGCGGTATTATGCAAGCTATTAAATGATGTTGTCAAAATTATAGCTCATCGTCTTAGTTTCTGAGATAACGGGAATTTTATGTTTCTCAATGGCAGTTACGCCTCCTAGCGGTCGAATTACGAACTTCAAAATAATTTCCAGCTATTTCTCTTGGTCACGTTGCTAATATGGATTGTTTCCCAAACTACTAGGCCTTACCGTTGTCGAGATACAGCCGCTCCGTACATTCATAATATATGTGCAAGACTTCAGGATGTGATAGCTTGTGCAAAAATTTGAAAAAAAAAAAAGGTTTTATCAACTTAGCCTCTGTTTTTACACAAAAAAGGTGCTGTAGGTCATGAGCTGTAAAGTTGACCGTTTTCTCGAAAAATCAACTTTTATGTTGAAAAGCATGGTCAATTTTCTAGAACAAGTAACAAAAGCAAGCGTTAACTTCATAATTACAAAACAAAAAAATGAAAAAATGATACAAATTCTCCAAACCGTAAAGGCAACGCATTCGCACATTTCAGCGTTGAGTAAAAAATTGTACAATTTATTTTTAACAAGTAGGCTTGAAATTTTATAACAAAAGGTACCTCCTATCAAAATAACAATTAGCTTGTACCTGCCAAAAGTAAACTTACAAAATTAAAAATGAATTACACAAACGCTGAAATGTGCGAAATGCATTACCCTTACGGAATTGCGTGCGATAATTCGGCAGAAGCAAGGCGGTTGTATCAAGAAAGACATCCTGATCGCCCAGCACCACACCATAACTTGTTTCTACGCATTCACCAACGACTATGGGAAAATGGAAGTTTTAAAAGGAATACAGCTGATAATGGGCGGCCTAGGAAAGTTGCAAATCCCCAAGTAGAAGAGGCTGTCCGCAACGAAATTGATGAAAATCCGACCACAAGTATTTACCAGAAAAATTGCTCACAATTTAAACCTATCTCACTCGACGGTTGGAGAATTATTGGAAAATTTTGAAAAGGCAACATTTGTATCCCTACCATATCGAAAGAGTACAAGCCTTATTGCCAAGAGATTTTCCGCCAAGATAGGCTTTTTGTACATGGATGCAAGACAAAATAGCTCAAAATCCTGAGTTTGGAGCCGAAGTTCTGGTTACCGATGAAGCATCTTTCTCGAATGACGGTATTTTCAATTTTCACAATAACCACATATGGGAAGAAGAAAATCCACATGAAATTGCAGAAGGCCATCATCAGCAACAATTTTCCGTAAATGTTTGAGCTGCCATCGTCGGTGATCATTTGATAGGCCCACATTTTTTACCGAACAGATTAAACGGTGCAGATTATCGACAGTTTGTAGAAGTATTGCCGGAACTGCTGGAAGATGTACCTCTTCAAATAAGACAAAACATGTACTTTATGCATGATGGAGCTGCGGCCCACTTTAGTTTGGTTGCTCGCCAATACTTGGACGACGAATACCCAGACCGTTAAGACCTTAAGTGATTAGATTTTTTTTGGGGCCATCTGAAAACCCTAGTCTACGTTACTCCAGTTGAAAATGTTGACCAATTAAGAAAGCGCATTGTTGTGTCTTGCGACATAATTCGGAAGACTCCGGGAATTTTCCTGCGTGATAGATAGTCAATGCGTCGAAGAATTGCTGCGTGCATTGAAGCTAACGGCGGATATTTTCAGCATTCAATTTAACTGTGTATTCTAAAGTTATAGTAAAATAAAATTCTTATTTCAAAAAATTGTCCACGTTATTCAACATAAAAGTTGATTTTTCTCGAAAACGGTCAACTTTAGAGTTCATGACCTTCAGTACCCATTTTGTGTAAAAAACATTGGCGGTTCAAATGGGTGTCTCAAAACTGTACTTTTTCCAGTGGCGTAGAAGTTGGGGAGAAAAACAACCACTACTACCCTTTCAAAATCTTCACCAATGATGACCTTAAAAAATGTGTTTCACGCACAAAACTTAGCTTATTATGAGTAGAAAATGCTTACAAAAGCTGTTTCTCTGTCGAATTCACGCAAAATTCTTCTTCTAAAGTTTACAACATACTTAAATAGTTAAAAAAAAATAGGAAAAAAAGAAAAATAAAAAAAAAATAGAACAGTTTATTGTTACTTACTTAGAACTAGTTTGATATTTTTATACTCACCTAATATATTTTTATTCTGTGCAATTACGTAATACATACTTATCATTTCTATTATGAAAGGATACATATTCCAAAGTATATTTACGATAATCAATATTATTGGTCCGAGTCCTCGAAGCCTATGTGAAGAGGGCTAACATTATAGATATTTTCGAAAATATTTTTCGAGTAAGTAGAAACCAAGTGTTTTTGACATTTTAAAGTGCTCAACTCAACTGAATTGATGGGGTTAAACTGAAATCCAAGCATACGTGGTACATACGTGGTCCTATTAAAAGTTGGATCATGACTATTGATCAATGAGAATTGATTATTTGGTGCGTGTTTTTGTACCTCTGGCTCCATTAATTCCAGCTCTCAATTTTTGGTGTCACTAATTAAAGTTTTTTGTAAAATCGAAAAACATCAATGTTTAATTGTAGCAGAAATTGAGTCGAAAATCTTTGTTAAACTTTAAAAAATCATACCGACTTTATTTTTGGGACCTAAGAAATGATTTTTTTACTAAATTAAAGCTTAAATTTTGATCTTTGTTTCTATACATAATACGTTTGATGATAAAGTTTATTTGTAAAATCGAAAAATGTCAATGATGAAAAAACTATTTAGGATAATTTTATTGGAAGATGATGAACTATTACGATTATTACTATAATGGTTGGCCGAGATTTTCCATATCTCCATCAGGTTGCATTGTATTGTACTGGTATAAATCAACAGTTTCGAGGATATACTATTAATAATTATTGTTCAAATCAACATTATTTAAATGCAATATTTGTTTAGAATTGAATTACAAAGAACTTTTATTAATTTAATAATATATTTATAAAAAACTTAGTTTTAATTTCCCTGTGAACAGTACGTTGCGTTACATATCACAGCAATATACAGTATGGGTCAAAATGTTTCATTAAAAAACAAGTTGACAACATTACAAAGTCTAGAAGATATTTAAACACATTGTGACAAATGTTTCAAACTTCACTGAAAAGGAAAACAAAATGGATCAAAGAGAAATTTAATGTTTTTCTCTATATATTACAAAAAGTAAGCAATATTGCACAATTTTAGAATGTAATAAAAACGGTGTTAACATTTACAACTTAGGTTATGACCATTAAATATTCTATATTCTTTAATATTCTAATATGCTTTAAGAATTCTTTTTCGTGACAGTTAAAATCCAATTGAAGAAAATATAAACCAACTTGAATTCCTTAAAAGAATATCATTCAGCTTATTAATTGTTTATAATCATTATATTTCATAAATATAAATAATTACCTTAGCTGCTGCCGAATGTGACAAATCTCCAAATAAAGGGACCCCCAGTATGAGTGGTTTTTGACTCATACACAATAATATTAAAACATCTTTTCGTGTTGAAACGTCCGCTTCAAACCAATTCATGTTATAAACTTCATCGGCAACACTGGCCGCCTATAATAGGAAAAAAAAACATTCCTTTATGTTTTAAAAAAATTGAATTTTCGAATATACAGTGTCCGAAGACTGGAAGACTAGACGAACTTGTAATAGAACATGAGGCTGCAGCGGAATTGGTAAAATAGGAAGGCACTGACCAGGGAAGACGAAAACTGGAAACAAACTGTAAAGGCAAGACATGGACTAGACAGACAAGAGGATACTTAGAAAGTACGTGATAATAGCAGAGTTAAGTTGAATATACACTGAAAAGGTAAGAAAACTGGTCTCTAAAAAGGGTCTGGTCGCAAAAGAAAAACATTAAACAGAGCTTGGTAAGACAAGAAGAAAATTGAACAGGGACCAAGAAATATGGAATAAAAGAAAGAGACTAAACAGAGATTGGAAAGAGGGAAAAAAACAGACGTAAAATTCTCAATAGAATGACAAAATTTCAGAAACGTGCAATGGCCCCAAAAAAAGAGGGTGTTGATA